TCCATTATTATTCCCCCACTAAATGAAAAAAGTCAGAATTTATTACCATCTAGAGACTATTAATAACAGGAGGTGAAATGCAGCTCTAGACGAGCCGGGCATGTGGTGATGTCATCAGTACGCTTCTGTTCCAATTGACCCATTTTTATGCTGCGTCCTCCCGTTCTCACCAAGTCCACACTTTCCTGTGTTCTTCTTAAGAACATACTTGGCGAGACCATGAGTCCTTACTCACCTTCCTGTGAATTGAGAAATGGTCAGTGATTTCAATTTCAAATCCTCATGGGGCGGCGTCCAGAAACCTTTAGATGTGTCTACTTCCACACACCTGATGCCAATGTGAGCTCATTAGCGGAGCTTGGCTGCTGCTTGTTCAAGCTATTTGAATTATGTGTTTAGGGATACATCTAAAGATAGCAGGATACTGGCCCTCGAGGAATTGAGTGTGAGACCCCTGACCTAAAGTGGTGCTTAGAGATTAATTGTCCATCTGAATAATGCAAATCAGAAAGGACACTTAAGCCAAAGAACTGCGTTAGTGTCCGCCATGAAAAGTGCTGTCAGGATAGTGCTGGCAAGTAGGAAGGGAGAGAGAGCAGAGTGCTTCCTAATGATTCCTATGCTAAATACTAGTTTCTTTTACATAGTAACCGCCTGATGTTCCTATCTGCTCCTATATGGTTGCCAAGATTCGTTTACATTACAGGACGTATCGGCACAGTCCACCTCATGAAGTTTAACAAATATCCACTATTTAATGACTTATACTCTATGTGACATATGCCAAGATGTTCTCACCTTTATATGTTTTGAGTTTAAAAATAGACAAGATCAGCCGTTCACTACATTAGGGTGTAAGTTGTGCTTTTTGTAGCTCATTTTTAAAAGTGTTTTAGTCCCAATTTCCTTCGCATGATCCTGCCTTTCCGTCCTGGATTAACATCCGTAGGGCTGAAGGCTGGGCAGATTAGGCAGTTCATTTATTACCCTAGATAGTGGTATTACTGTTGATCCTGAGAAAAAGGGACAGGACTAGGAGCTAGGAACAAGAGGCAGGAGGTTGCCCAATTCAGATGG